TCTCTCTCTCTCTCTCTCTCTCTCTCTCTCTCTCTCTCTCTCTCTCTCTCTCTCTCTCTCTCTCTCTCTCTCTCTCTCTCTCTCTCTTTCTCTTCGTGTGCCGCCCGTAGTCCATTTGATGCTATCAATGCACCACCGCTCATTAGGGGATTGAACACATGACGAGAACACCCACCACTATTCCCGCCTCCACCTAATCAGATCCGGATAGAGAGAGAGAGAGAGAGAGAGAGAGAGAGAGAGAGAGAGAGAGAAGAGGAGGATGATCGCGATGAACATTGAGAATCATCGCTGACGATGTGAGAGGCGGGACTCCCCAAGACTTGTTACGACCAGTCGGCCGCCAAAGCCTATCTGAAGACAAACAAAAAAAAGGGAAAAAAAAAAGAAAGAGAAAAAAAAAAAACAGAAAAAAAAGAAAACAAACACCCTACTAAAGCTTCTACTTCAAAAAAGGAGAAGAGAAGTACCAACTGGCCTACCCGGTAGCTCAGTTGGTGGGTACACCCCTTTGAACGAACTCTGTTGAAAATTCAGACCCTGAGTTCACACTCAATCCGAAACAAATTTCGGGATCTCACCTGAATTGCATGTTGTCGTCATTAATTAAAGGATTAACGGAATCATGAGTGTTCCGTTAGTCGACGAATCATGAGTGTTCCGTTAGTCGACGAATCATGGGTGTTCGTATTTGATTAACGGAACCGCGTTGATGACATGAATTGTACGATTAATATTTGATTACGTAATTATTATTATTGTCATTACTATTATTGTTATTATTATTATTATTATTATTATTATTATTTTTTTTTTTTTTTTTTGAATTAACAGTTGAATCGTTACAAAAATTAAATATAAAAAAAAAGAATCTTATGTTTCTGGCTCCATGTTCATTCTGGAGAGCGTCAGTCCGGTTCCCTTTTTTTTTGTTGGCGTCAGTCGAGTTCCTATTTCCACCGGCATTTCCCCTTTTTTTTTCCCCCTATGTTGTCTATTGATTGATTGATTGATTGATTGATTGATTGATTGATGGATGGATGGATGCGCTAGTTGTGTTGCGTTTGGGTTGATTGGGTTTAGATTAGTTCTGCATTTTTAAAAATTTTATTGTTTTTTTTGTGTGTGTATGCTCTGATTTCTTGTCCTCAGAAAAAAAGTGAGTTGAGTCCAGTTGTCAATTGAGTGAATTGAGTGATAGACTTCCTTCCGTCTTCCCCTGAACACAAAGCACCCTCATTGAGGAGACTGTATCGGACCAGAAACATGGTTTGTATTCGTTCAGGACGGGGGTCCGTTGTGCTCGGGGAAAGAGGCGGTAGTCGATTAATTGATTGATTTATGGCTCTTCTTTGCTTGATCGTTCATTGAAAGTTCACCCTGCCAATTCATTCATTGGTTGCAGAACGGGCTCGTAAGCGGATCTCCTCGTACCCCCGGCCGCACACGTACTCACACACACACACACACACACACA